ACTTTAGTTGGTGTAACAGTTGGCGATGAGTCCACTTACATCTCCTTGTGCACGACACATTCCCTGATAAAAGCACAGAAAAAAATCTTTACAATGATGAAAATATCTACAAATATGAACATAAACCGAAATAATTATGCTTTAGTGCCCTTGAAACTAATGTTCGACGTATAAATATGAAGAATAAAAATGAGATATAAACACAAGAAGAAGTTGGAAATCACTTCAATGGATGTGATTCTTACGAAATCTTATCTAAAATAATGATGATCGATTAAGTTTAATTGAAACTATAAACTAATACTAAAATTAAAATTGTCATACATTAAGAAAACCCAAAAACTAAGCTAAAACTAAAACATGAGAATTTAAAATTTTGAACAAAGAAAAGTAATTGAAAAACAATAAAGATGTAGTTAATTCTAAACAACTAGTAGTCTTTGTTCACAAACAAAACAAAAAAGACGAATCATATTGAATGTGGTTGTAAGATAGATTAAACTGATCGACGTACTAAATTTGCACACCAAGCACCTTGTCTTATATTTATATCCATATTCATATCAAAAATATGGCCTAATGTATTTAATTTAGCTTCAGTATGTGTAACAAATAAAGAGTGAATAATTTGACGAAATAGACCTGATGTATTGTGTGGTAAAGCGGCAATAATTGTTGCATTATATAGAGGTACTTCATCATAGAGTTTTGTACTGTGAAAGTTCTTTCGAAAGAAATGAATTTGTTTTTCTACTTGACGTTTTGAAAATCGATAGCCTTCAGGTGGGTTTGGTAAATCTTTGAGATATTTTTGTATATTTTCATCTTGATAAATATTTGATATTGTTGTTGTTGTCAAACGCATTCTTTCATAGCGAACATTGTCGGCATCAGCATCTTCGTTTTTCATCGGAACCAATGGCCAAAACTGTGGGTTTCCATCTAAAAAGGCTTGTACTGTAGCTGAACATTGTTTTGGATGTTGATATAAGAGCATATTTTGTTTATTCGATGTGAAGCTATTATCTTTATAGATTGGAAGGCGTTTCGTATTCTTTTCGCCAAGCAATAATTTACCAATAGCAAGATTTGCTATCTGATAATGATCTTCTAAACGTTTTGCCAATGTATACGATGTCTCACTAATATAATCATATTGACCACATAAACAAGTTAATGCATAAATAATGTTTCTTGTATTACATGTTACTGGACAATTTAATATCGATTCATAACCGTTGACAAAGCGATGTGTTTCAGCACGATTAAATAAAATGGATGTTGGTTGACGATAAGTCAAATCAATTGGTGTTTGACATATTTTACATTGTCCACAGGCTGTCATTTTATAACGACATTCAGGTGTTGTTGCACAAAATATACCTTCTGTATCCGATCTTGGTTGTGCCTTCCGAAAGGAACAAGTTTTCATATAGAAAAGATCGACATCCATTTGTAAGTAAAATTCTAATAATTGTGGTAGTTCATGATCATGTAAATAAAATGTATCTTCCATACGTTTATTAGCATGAAGTATTTGAGCACGACGTGTACGAAATAATTGAAGAACCTGTTGTAAACGAGCATAATTATGATCCAATATAGATATATCGATATGAAAACGATCGACGATTTTTAAAAAGTAATTCTTATAATAGTTGTACATCATTGATGATGTTGGCGGACTTGGATCGGTCATAGTAAATATGCATTTATATTCACCTGTTTGACGACGTCCTAATTCTGTTCGTGATAATTGAATTGGAGACACATTGGCCAATAATAAATTCGATGGATTATCAGAGTCGTTATTATCTCTACTTGGAAATGTTGGTAAAATTGAGAGACGGTATTGATTGTAAAAATGAAGTGTACGTGGTATATAATTCGGTTGATAAAGACCAATAGGTGTTCTGTTTGGTGCTACTACGTCAATAATTTCGATTTGTCTTGCTATTGTTGTTGTTGTTCGTCGCTGTCGTTTTACTGATGGCCCTCTTGGTGTCAATGATTCTTTGAGCCCTGGTAATTCCATGGTTATAGCTGGCAGACGAACTGTTGATGTTTCTTGAGTACGTTGTTCCTGTGCTGTTGGTGTAGAATACTGAGTAGTTTCCATTAAATCACCACTATCATTTCTATTCTGATCATTTTTCTCATTATTATCATCCTCATCCGAACTGAATAGATGCGACATGTGTATGTCGAAATTCGGAAGATTTCTATTTTCATCCATTGTTAATATGTATACCCGTTCTATTGCAAAAGTCGTTCGACACAAACGTAATATCTAGAATATATGAGGAATAAATTGAAATCAATTCATCAAAGATCATGCACAATATATAACATTCTTTTATGTGAAATGAAAGGGGAAAGGTAAAAGAAATGCATGGTACCTATTTTCGACGTCGACGAATACAGAATGAAGAAATGCCGTGTAATGTGCAGCTATTTATAAGCACGAAATAAAGAGAGAGAGAAAGGGAGAGATAGAGTGACCGATGTAACATTTATTTTTCTCTTTCATTCTTGAATATGATTGGCCAAAAAAAAAAAAAAAAAGAAAGAAAGAGAATAAATTTTTACAATACAAAGCAACAATGGCAGACAATGAGCGTCAGTCAAACAAACATATATAGAAACGATTGAAGAAAAAATTAAAAATTAAGATTGGTAGCATGGTTTTGAAACAAATAAAATAATCGACACATAACATAAGTCACCAATGTTTAAAAAAAAAGAAGTTTGAAAAGGCGACGATTTTCTACAGACGAATAGATTGAGTTCGACATTTTTTAATTTCATTCATTGGTATATTGAATCTTTCTTGGTTATTTTGTTCAATTTCTTCGTAGTGTACGGATTCATTTCGTCTTTGTTGACTTGTGATTCGAGACATGTGATGTTGTAATAAACAGATAATTTGAAAATTTAACAAGATTAAAAATAATATTCCAACAAGAGTAATAATGAGAACAGGATGAATTCCGAGTGGGTATTTCTTTTCGGTCATCACGGGTACTGATACAGTTTGTATAGTGGTAGTATCAATCTTCTCTTGGAACTCACTGTAATATGTTGAGTCAATATATTCTTTTAGAACAGTATACTCGTAGAGTGATGGACACCAAAGATATTCTGGATCTGTCACATTCATTGGAAGAAGAAAACATTGCTTGTTTGTAGTGTCTGTCATTCTAATTGAAATTATCGATGAATTTAAGTGATACAGGAATTTAAATCTGAAATCTAAAAGTATCCCATCTTGAATAGGAGAAAAAAAAATTACTAAAAACTAACAATCTATGTTCTAATATTAATAGGATAAACAAACGGTAATGTGAAGTGAAATGAAACTAATGTAAAATACATTTACATAGGCATACAGAGCTAAAAATGAATAATATTCAGAAGTAATTTAGAAAATCAAGCGTGTAAGAAGAATGAAAGCAATGTGTCATATGACATACACTACAATAGAAAGAAGAAATTCTAGCAAACACAAAATGCGAATATATCAGACATTCGAAAGACTTCATGGTAAATGAGATACATAATGGAAGTTGGAATGTTTCAAAGAACAAAAAGCAAATGGAGTTTTTGTACAATTGAAATTGAAGTGTTCGTAGTGAAATCGAGTGCTGAATCAAATCCGCGATAAGAATTTGTGAAATCAAGGTATCGACGCGCTCTTTTGCTGAAGACCCGTTACCTAACAATATGATCAAATAAAATCGATAGAAGTCATATACACATCATTTTAATCAAATTTTCTTTTTCATTAAATATAGATTTACCTCTCTTGTGTTATCAAGAGCGTCAAATATACCAAATTTCATAAAATATTGTTGAGTAGGAGAATAGGTTCGTTTTTGCCCCGACGATTTCTTCCATAGTTCACGATAGAGACCATATGCAATAAATAAGACCCAAAAGATGAGGACAGTAAATCCTACAGCTAGAATGCAATTCTCCAGAGCATTATTTTGTCTTGTAAAAATCGTTTGAGTATTAAATGCGTTTAATTGGTCTTGAATAGTTTGATTGACGAAATCGATATGTGTTTGTGACGCATCGACAATGGGTTGCAATGAAACTGAAAGCCCTTGATTATCGGTTGTATTCATATGTATTCGAAACATGGTCAATTTTTTGCTCTTAGAGAAGCGAGAATTAAAATGCAACAGTGAAGCAGATATGGAATCTAAAACGAGATGACAAACAAAAGCAACAACTAAAAGGCATAGTAGGCAGTGAAGAGGTTTTATTGTTTATCTAAATGAAACTACAAATATTTGAAAAAAGGAACAACAAAAGACAAGAGTAAAAATTTAATATAACGAGAAGAAAACAATAATGATTAAATATGAAGGTATTGGTTTATGTAATTCGATCAAAAACTAATAATGTTTTGAAATCGAGAAAAAAAAACGTTTGACAGCGACTGCTGGGTTGTTCTTAAACAACAACCTCCTAAAGAATAAAAAATTCGTTTAATGTGTAATTTTAATATAATAAATTTATTACATGGAACTCATTGTGTTGTTGTACGAGTTCGTTTTGCAGTGCACTGTTTTCGATATTGTCAGCATTACTATGGACCATTTTCTTAGCGTTGGTACACATTGCCCAACAAATTGAAATAATTGTGAACATCATTATTAGAATAATATAGAGAGAGAAGATCATCAGAAGAAAACCTGGGCTATTGATCATAAACATTGTCTTGGATGAAGTATTATTACTAGCCGTGCAATTGGAAATATTCTCTGTCAATGTATAATTCATGCAAGAAAATTTATTTTTTGAATCCAAAGAGAACAATAGACTACTATTGGCACAGAACGGCGATAGAGAGAATGTACACTTCCATATTTTGTAAAACATTTCCATGACTGTATTGTGTCGTTACGGAGGATCGTCGAGTAGGACTAATCTAGTAATCTGAAACAAAAAATTGAATATATTATATAGGAAATTTTTTAATGGATTGCTTTCTCTCTTGTGGTCGCTACTTAGAGAAAGATACCATTTTGGGTTTTGATAGCGATAGAAAAAACTAAAATATTTCTCGAAGACTAACTGATTGCTCTAAAGAAATAGGACTTTTGACAAAACGACTCTTTTTTTTGCATTTTGTATTGTTGGTAAATGAGCCGGGAGTATTGCTTGTCCCATAGCTTGGTTGTTTCAGCAACAAGGCAAAAATATGAAGCCACTAAAATCCTAATTATAGAAAAACAACATGATCAAGTTTCATTTTATTTTATTTCCCTTGATGAAAAATTATCTAATAGTCAACTCTAAATATTCACATAAACCGTTTATATCTGTGTTATTTCGTTAGTACGTTTGCTTCAATCGTGTATAATAGGATAAATGTCATGCAATTTTAGAGTCATGAGTTTCTTTTATTCTTTGTCACGTGAAATGATTCTTCCTGTTGAATTCAAGTGTAAATAAACTACATACAAAAAAGAAAAGCCATCTAGTTCACTAAAAGCTAATACAAGAAGATAAGTAGAAAAAAAAATTGCGTAAATTATTATTGCAATTCAATTCATGAATTTAATAAGAGAGAACAAACGAAGATAAAGACATAAACCGAAATAAAATGAACAATTCTACGTTTCGTCTATGGATAACTAAGAAAATATTTAGAGTAAAAGTAATAATGATTCAAAGTAATATATATATATATATATATATCAGTTTTCATATTGTGATTTAACAAATGTTGTTGTATCGTTGGATGGAAGAAAGCGAGCTATGGATGGACTTAATAAATTTGCACACCAAATTTTACCTTGACTATAAGGTAAGCCATACAAGAGACCAGTTGAACCTGTAAATAAATTGAAACAATTTAATTTCGTTTCAGCATGAGTAACAAATAGAATCTCAATCAAATGTCGAAGCATTGTTGAACATGGAATTGGTAGAACAGCAACAATAGTAGCACGATAAAAATCTAGTGTTGAATAGAACTGGCCATGTTGTGGTTGAAAATTTTCAAAAAATTCACGTTGTGTATCTTGTTGGCGTTGCGAAAAAGTATAGCCTGGTGGTGGTTTTGGAACACGAGCAAGATAAACATTTTCCATGTTTGGCAAATTCTGTTTCGTATTGTTATCTGTTATGTCTTTGTAAGATAAATCGTCGAATTGTGCATCCGTTACTTGCATCGGAACGAATGACCAATACTCAGGATTATATTCGAGAAATAATTGTAAAGCTTTTGTACAATGTGTAAAATGTTGATAGAGACGCTGTTTATTGGCACGCTGCTTATCGAATTCAATTTCGGTACAAGTACATGGAACTGGAAAAGGTTTGCCGTTTAATAAATATTCAATCATAAGACGATTGGCATGTTGTCGATGGTATTCAATGACCTCATTTAATGAATATCGTGTCGAACCAATATAATCGTATTCACCACAGACACATGTGAAAACATAAATTATACTATTCGTTTGACAATTTGCTGGACAATTTAAGATGGCTTCATAGCCGTTAATAAAATGATGCTTTTGTCCTGATGTTGAAAACTCAATTGGAGTGCTTTTAGCAGAACCTGGATCGTGTTCGGTTGGACATAAAGCACAAAACAATTGTTGACATGGTTTCATATCGTGACTCGACGAACTTGTTACATCCTCCATACAAAATAATCCCGTTTTCATCGATAAACTAGTCGTTATTCGAAATGTGCATGTTTTCATGAAGAAAGTATCCACATCAAGTTGTAAGAAGAACTCTAATAAAATGATTAATTCGTATGGATCTAACCGCCGTAAAAATTTGTCATGTCCTGGCACTTGAAAATGATGATCAAATAGAAAATCTGAACCGTAATGCGTACGATATTTACTAATGAAAAGATCAATAAAATGGTGAAGTCGATATAAATTATAATCAAGAATGGATGAATCGACATCTAAACGTGTTTTCAATGGACCCAGTAAATTTTCATAAATAATGTGCACATAGGAAGGTACATCTTTGCTATCTTTTGAATTCCATGGATCCGAATAAACACCTGGAGATCGTCGCGTTAATTCAATGACACATAACTTCTCTGCTGGGACGCTAGCTAAGAGTAATGGTGCATTTGTTATCGGTTGATTTGGGTGATTTGGAAACGTCGGTAAAAATTGTCGGCGTTGCTGATTATGTTTATTGAGTGTTTTCGGTTGATATTCAAGTAAATTTTCTTGGTCTAAAGTAAACATTGGTCTCGTGAATTTAAACGGATAATGCCATTTTGATTTCTTGAATGACATGATTCGATTATTGTTGCTCTTTTGACAATCTGAAAACAAATATTGTTGATGAAAGAAGCAATATGATTAACAAGATGATAACTATGATTAATCTAAATAGAAGAACACAAACAATAATACAATTACAGATTCGAATTGTCAGAGACATTTGAATCTATGAAATGCGCAAAAAAAATCTATTTTAATTCTGCGCAAGCAATACTACTAATAGGAACATGTAACAAACTACTCAACTACTCTACAAAGAAGTTTTTCAGTTTTGCTATGTGTCATCTTTCTTGTAGCCTCGATGAACTACGAAGTCATCGGCGATGAACGTATGATATTCTCACACCATACTCTATGATAAGGAAATGCATATAATTCGTGTGTATCTTTTGTACGTAAATTGAACATATTTAATTTTGTTTCGGCATGTGTTGCAAAGAGACATTCTAGTGTTTGACGTAATAATGTAGAACAATTTTCTGGTAGAACAGCTATAACCGAAAAATTATAAAAATCAACTGGTGTAAACAGTTTTTCATCGTGACTTTTTATGAAATGTAACTTTTCAAAGAATTTTCTTTGTTTTTCTTGTTGATAATTTGAAAACATATAACCCTTCGGTGGTATTGGTACATGTTGAATAAATAAGTCACTAAAATCACTCACAGGTGATAGTTCTATAATTTTATTTCTATCATCCACCATGGCTTGCTCATAAGTCATAGGTATAAAACAATCATAGTCTGGATTCACATTTAAAAATAATTGAATGACTTTAGCACAACGTGCTGAGTGTTGATATAAACGAATGAATTCTTTTTGATTATGCAAAAAATTGTTCGTATCTTGATGTGAACCGAAAGGTGAATTTGCAGATATTAATGTTTCATGCATATATTGATTGCCATTTTCTCGAATAGATTCAATCACTTCTAATATATGGGAAGATGTTGATCCAATAAAATCATATTCACCACATGGGCAAGTTAAAGTATAGATGATGTTTTTCGTTTGGCACGTAACTGGACAATTGAGAATTGCATAATAACCGTTTAGAAAGCGATGTGTTCGACAGGAATCAGATTGAATAATTGTCGATGGTGATTCACATAATGTGCAAGAAATCTTCTCACAAGCTTGAAAACTGTATCGTACCAAAGGTAAGTGTGATTTACAAAATACACCTTCGTCTAAAGATCGAGGCCATGCATTAAGAAAGGTACATGTTTTCATGTAGAAAAGATCGACGTCAATTTGTAAGAAAAATTCTAAGCCTATTTTTAATTCAATTTCATTAAGTTTAAGTAGATTATTTGGGAAGTTTATATCGTGTTGTGCATATACTGGAATATTATTCTTGTTCCATTGAGTAAATCGTCGAGAAAATACCATTTGTAAAAGTTGAAATCTTTCAACAATACGTCGCAAACGTCCAAGATTAAAATCTATTATGGCTGGATTAATTTTTAAGCGTTCAATTAAATCATTAAAATCTCGTTTAAAACAATCATACATGTATGAATTCATTTGATCACTTAGAATTATTGGAATGAATGGACCCTCATAACAAGTAGCGTATCGACGAGTTAAATCATTCGGACCTAAGATACTTGTTGACACATTAGCTAATAAAAGAGGAATTTCATTTGGTTTGCATGAATTCAAATAAGGAAAAGTAGGCAAATATGCACATCGGTCTTTATTGTGCTCCTTTAATGTTAACGGTATATAATTTTCAACTGGCTGTTGTTGTTGTTGTTGTTGTTGGAAGTGGTGTTGCTGTTGAGGTGGCATTGTGTCCATATTTTCTTCTTGTTGTTGCCGTTGTGTGAGTATCAGTAGAAGCTCATCATCAGATTCTGGAACAGTTTGCCGTACTAATTGTTGCTGTTGTACATATTGCTGATGCAATGGTGTAGCCAGAGATGCAACCGATCGTACCTGTGATTCATCTTCTTGTTGCAATTGTTGCATAATACGTAGTATGTCCCGTTGAATTTCACGTCGCCCATCTTCTCCTGTCATGTCTCTTTCTTGATATACGTAGTTTTCACGCGTGTGCATAACAGTTATTTTTTTAAAAGAACGTTTTGTAAATCATAATCTAGAAGAAGAAGAAGAAGAAGAAGAAGAAGAAAAAAGACTATATAGATCCACATATATGCCATTGATATTTTAATATATCAAAGAAACAGAAAACAAAATCGTTTTGTACTGTTATAGATTGAGTTAACATTGTGTGATAATCAATTAGAACTCGTGCAAAAATTTCCGTTGTTGATGTTTCTATGAATTGGTATTTTCCACATAGACAAATGAACACATCAATTACATTTTTATCAATGTGGCACATCTACTAGAAGAAGTTCCTTGGAATCTGGCAAGTATCTTATACTTTTTTTTTCAATACAATGCTCATTTCGAGTTGATCAAAAATGTAATGAAAGTTTATGATTACTATTGAATTTTTATAATATATCAATAGTAAAAGGCATCTCCATTTTAATCTAGCATGAATAATATATATGTCATATGAATAAACAAATATAACTACAAGAACATAAATAAAACAAGACAGGAATAAAACGACAACAAGAAAATGCTAATATAAATATATTTTAAAAGTTATATCTTCATTCTTTTGCAAGGATGTAATACCAATTTAAATTTTTGAACACCATCGACTGGATCCAACAATTGTAATGCTTCACGAATGATAAGCCGATGTAATTGTTTTTTATAATCCTGCATTCCAGGTATAGTTTCAGCCATTTGAGTATTAATTTCAGTTTCATCATATACACATTGAAGAATTCGACTAATAGTAATTAATTTTTGATAAGGTGATTTCATTGCCATATTGATAAATCAAATGTAAGGTAATGAATTATGTATTTTAATCTAGAATAGTAAGTAGAACTTTAAATCATATATGTATATATATTGACACATTTTATGAGTCAATGAAAAAAAAAACGAGCAAAACAGATAAATATTTATTGTAATTTATAGATATTTTTTTTTCTCACTTAGCGGATATTGTTTTAACATTAGATTCATTAGTTTCGTAATTGCAAAACAATTGGAAACAATATAGATTTTCATTTCTTCACGATATTGAATTTGTTCACGAATAAATTGATCATAGTTTTTGATATACTTTGACGAAAATTTATAATTGTACATTTTCAAATTAATGTCAATCCCACAATTCCAATGAGCATGTTGCATTTTTGTATTAAGCACTTCGTCAAAAACGACAAGAAGTGCTGTTTTTAATGAATATGAGTCATCCTTTGATCTCATGTGATGGAGTAAAGAACTTTTAAATGTCATTTTATACCAGTCGCGAAAACGTTCATGTAAATCAATTAAATTGAGTTGTTTCAAGTCGTTTTCGTTAAATAATTCATAACGATAGAATAGTGCTAATTTATCTAGTGGATTACCCCAGGCAAAAACGTATTTATTTCGTGAAAAAATTTGTTTGAAGAGTTGTTGTATTTGTTGTTCTTTGGTGTAATCTCGTGTTCTTGTTGTAAAATTAGATTTGAGATATAAAACCTCAACGAGAAGTACTAACGGCGCATGTTGAAAAGAATTAAATTGAATTTGTATTAATGCTGGTATCGATTTACTAGCAGATAGATATGTTTCTTGTTGTTGTTGTGTATCAATGATAAAGCTATATGTTTCAGAGGCTACTTTAATGACGTGATTTAAAATTTCTGTAGATGTTAGCATATGAATAAATATTAAATTATAATTCTTTGGTAGTTCAAATGATTGATAGTTCGTATAATATTGAAGTGATCGATCTGAATAAGATTCGATTTCACTTAAGAATATAGGTGAATTCATCTAAATGAAAACAAGAAGAATAGGAAAAAAAAAGAAAGGAACAATGCATATAAGATAGTAAATAGAACCTATTTATTGAAGCATGAAACAATTAAAGTGATTAAATAGATGAGAGAAGAGAAGAAAACAAAACACATGAATAAATATTGAATTTTGTTTATTAGAAAGTCAATTTTCAAACATGGGACCAGCGAGGGTTTGGAGTTAAATAGTGATTTATGTTTGGGATAGTTGAATAGTAAACAGGTGGCTCATGCTGATCTGGGTTCCGAATCTAGAAAGTATAAATAGTTTGCAGGTAAACCATGCTAACGTAAGTTGAATTTTATTTTTATCTTTTTACCTGATCACTTCTATTCGATGGTGCAAAACGTTGGATGTTTTGCATTGACATAGAGCATTTCTTTTTGGCAAACGAGTTTGTCATAGAAGCGACTAAATTATGGCTGGTTATAGGTCGTTTTTCAATAAAGAAAAATTTTTTTGACTTCCATTGATAAAGATAATGCAGAATTGCCAATAATATGATTAGGATTAAAAATGTCATAATGAGTATCAAGATAGGATACAAGTGTTCACTATCAAATTTTTTTCTAAATGTTAATGAATACTCATTTTTCGTAGTATTATCATTTAGAACATCTCCGAGTGTTTTTATAAGTAATTTTTTCATTTTTCTTGAAGGATTTGTAGACACCTTAATTGCATTAGTTGCTAGGGGATGCCATTCTATGGCGAACGGTGGTTTCGATGTTGTTGTACTCTCGGTCATTATTGTTGTTAGTAAGCTATAATAGGGTGAAGGTTTCTTATAATAAGACTGTTCCTTCAACCATTGTTCTCGTAGAAAATCTTGCTTCTCATGGTATGGTATCATGATTGTGAGTCGAAGGAGAAAGCGAAAAAAAAAGTTATTTTAATCTAGAATATATTATTTAAATTTCTAATTATTGCTGTTATGTTGTGTATACCAATCCCTCTGCTAATAGGAAATTATTATAAGTATTACTTATATATATATATATATATATATCAATTTTCTGTTTTTTTTAAAGTTATTGTCATATTTTAATCGTGTTTGTAAGTATACGTACCTGTATGTATATAAGTGAGTGTATATAGAATGTGTTTGATGTCGAATAAGAAGCCGAAAAAATGAATATTGAGAAGAATGAGTGAGTGAGTAAAAATGTATAGATATTTATAGCTCTATGTCGGAGAGTGAATAAGAGAATTTACTATTTCTCTCTCTTATAGTTAATCGTGCCATAAATGAAGAGAGATATTGATATTGATTGGTCATTTGTCTCTCGACCAATAAGTGTGTGACAGAGAGAGACAGGGAGAAAAAGAGAAAGAGGTTGTAATATGAGGCGTGGTTACTTGTGATGTGAATAATTTCTATGAGAGAGAAAGAATCATCTCGAAATAAGTGAAAGAATACTGAAAAGAAGCTTGAGATCAAACATATATATATATATATATATCAAAGTTTTCCATAGATGCAATAGTGATCTCTGACAAAAAACAAGTATTCTCGAGTAATCAGCGAGATTCTTCAATTCTAATGATAATAATATTTTGATGTTGAGTCTTAAAAGAATAAATATTTAATAATTTTATAAACAAAATGATTAAATTCAGAAAGAAGTGTTTCGGTTCGGTGAAGATAAATTCCTGCATAAATAACAATAAATTAGAGAAATTGTTTTAGGGTTCTATTTATTTATTTATTTATTTATTTATTGATTTATTGATTTATTATATTTTAGATAAGCACGTGAACAAGAAAAGTCAAAAACTAAATTGAATCAATAG